AAATAAAGACGGAAAAACTAACTTCAAGTAGCTGGGCTTATCTCGGCGTTCCCGCTGTTGCGTCATCGAGATCACGTGACAATTCTCACGCCCTCTTGTTTCTAGAACTATCCCCTAACTTGGCAAAATAGGGTAGGCTGGTATATAAAAGAGGGTAATGTAATGTGTGTGTGAAAATAGTGAGTAATTGAACTGGAGTCACAGGGTATTGTTGAAGTTAACGTTCGTTCGTTACAGTGTTGTTTTAGCGCGAGTATTGAGATTAAGTGTATCGCAGAGTTATATTCGGAAAGAATAAACCAGTTTTATTAAGTAAAGACTTGTGTCGTTAAAATTTCGTCAGAACGAAGTTACGGAAAAATCAATTAACAAACGGAGACGTAACACCGCGTTATACTTGAATAAATCTTCAGAAGAAAGGGAGGAGGTTGGGAGTTTGAACTATATAAGAACTTTTAAGATACGGTGTATAGTTCTATTTAGTTCTACTTAATATCATTTTGTAAGGGTAGAGGTTGGGAGTTTAATTAGTAGAAATATTAGGGTGGCTTCATTTCAATTCATTTCTACTTTAAAAAATTTAAGGCTAACTGCCTTCCCACAACTGGCTATAGACAGTGAAAGGCAGTAGAAGCTGAGACGTTGTGGGTGTAAGCTTTCAGCTTTGTACCCTTATTTGATTGATGGTTTTATGATTTACCATGACGGCTGACTATATTGACATCGGCGTTTGGATTTTGTCTGATAGATGGGATAGCCCCAACGCATTTGGGTGCTACTGTCACAGACATTATCCGCTATGACAATAAGTTGACAACCTGGACTGATAAAGGTAATGCGATATATACACAGAGGGAGAGAGAGATCTTGTATAATATTGCTGTTTTGTTCACGGGTTCATTTAACTTTTCTGGTGAAAATAATGGAAGGTCCAGTCCATGTAAGGGTAATAAGTTAGTATCCTGCTTAACATTTCTATACAGGCATGTGCACGCTGTAACTTGTTGTAGGCTTACTTTGCAGACACGTTATCTACACTACACTGACATAAAAAACAACTTATTTGTACAAAGTAACTGAAGATGCACGATAGCTAATATTCCCAAATATTTTGGGACTAACGTGATGTGTCCTCTCACTATCATCTAAATTACATTAGAATATAGCTTATAGCAATATGTATATACAAAAGAAAGTAACATTTAATTAATGAGGCATTATAAATTTTAATTACATTAAAACTATATTAAAATAACCTTTGTCTAATCAATACAAAATGTACAATATAATGCAAAAATAAACAAAATACTGAACATTTTACACCAAAGCCTCGTTATAGAGAAACATTAACTACAAAAACATACTAATCAAAACCAACCCTTCCATAAACTACAGAAAATATATAGTAAAATAATCCTTTACAAAAATAAAAGATGCAATGTAATTAAAACACTAAGGAAACCTGTTAAGCAGATAATACTCAATAACACAAAGAAAAACTATAAGAAACATCTAACATATTTCAGTATTAAACATACAACCCAAACTAAAAGTAAAATCATTACAAGATATACATACATATATACAAGTTGATTAGTCACACTTCTTTTAATTAAATAATGCACTTAAAGAAAATCAAAATAATACAATAAATACCCAAAATGGAAGAAAGGCAAAAAAGTATGTGCATGATTCAGAGAGTTAAATATATAATACACAAATTTACACTTAAATTAACAACACACAAAATAAACATTACTCACCCAATGATAGCAATGAAGCCCAATTCATTTCTCTTTCACCTTAACCCTGAGAGCAGATCCTGTAGAGTGTTCTATTTGCCATGGTGGTTTCTTTCGTAATATCTCTTTCCTTGGCCAAAGCCTTTTGGGTCTAGACCAGCTTAGCTTACAGCTGGCGGACTTCCTCCTCCATCTTGCATGGCTACAATGGTCGTCACCTGAATTGGTTCGTTTTCTTGTTGTACAGGGCTGAAGCCTTGGTCCACCATGAAACCATTTCTTGGCAATGACACTTGAGGATAGTGACCAGCTGTAGAGTTGGATGGTTAGTGATGGCTGTTAATAAAGTGGTCAGGAACTATACCCTTATATGCCACTGGATTTGGTCATTGGACCTTGTGGACGCCCCTCTTTGTCTCCATGGTCTTGATTATGATCAGCCCAGTAGTTGATTTGGGTATCTTCAATTCACAGCAAACTCCCTCTATAGTGACATAGATGGTCTGGCCACTGTTTATGATGTCTGGACTGCCACAATGGTCATTATAGAGGGAACATCTCAGTCTGCTATGGTCTCTGAGATGGGAGACTTCATCCAGGGACCAGGGTTTCTGCAACTCTCCAAGAGGTTTGCTCTAGTTTTAGGATGTAGTCTTACCACCTCTAGAACATATGTTTTGGGAATGGCTCAGCCCCAAGGTTTCATTTAGTCTCCACTTGATCAACACATATAGTCATGCTACCCACTGTACATCTGCCAGACAACTGCTAACACAGCTTACCCTCTGACCCAGTCATATTCCCTCCACTATTGCAATTACTCAAACAAGCATTGTTTCGATAGCTGTAGTACCATAATTTGCTACCATTTATGAGCTATTAAACTCATCTCATTTGTTTTGGGTATTAAGAAATAAATAATCACTGGTATAATTCAGCCAAACTGATACTTTGCAGATTAAATTATCATCAGCTAGGATTAATATTCGTAGTTGAACTACAGTATGTATCAGTATACACTCGGATGAAGTACAATATTTCACTGCATGTGGAGAAGTCATACACTTTTCAGGTATACAGGGAGAAATATAATGGGAATAGTGTAGTATGCTCTTTAGAATTCCCACCACCTGTGTAGATGAACAACATTTTACCTCAGTAAATCACTTGGTAGTTCTGAAAGCAAAGAATATCACTTACTTTCAGTCAGTAACTTTTCATCCACATAACCATCCTAGCTGCATGATAATCGAACAGTTATTATTCGATATATGGTAGATATCAATCAATGAATTTTCCTGCCCAATAGCTTAGAAAACAAGGTTCGCAACACCCTTTCAGATCAGATGAGTTTTGAAAATTTCTCTGCCATGATATCAGCTATGGATTGTACTGTAGTATCAACTAATTGATAAGCCTTGGCCCACATTATAAAATAATCAGTGCTGAATGTTATGTACTGATTATATCGCTTAGTCTCTGGGAGTGGATCAGTGATATCCAGGAATAACCTTTATAGAGGAGTTTCAATAATTCACTACTGAATTTGAACATGTTTTGGCTGGTTCTTTCCCTGGAAGGAAAACACTGTACATTGTTCACACCAGTTCTGAACATTTCGACTCGAATGTGGCCAGTAAAACTGCCATTGAAAATTATCACACATGCACACCATACCTTGGTGACACACAATCGTACACTATGCAAGGTCTGGAGAATCTCGTGCCATAAGGATCTGGAGACCACTAGTTACAGCACATGTGGAGAACCATGGTTTGGTGGTTCATAATGATTGTACAACACATCTTCCTGAACTCATAACTGGCCATATATATATGACAGGTTACATGCCTCCATGCCATGTTCCTCGAGCTGTACTGGTCGAGCTTCACCTTGTTTCATGGCAAGGATCATCCAGTCGGGGTCATTTACTAGTGGAATCTCCTACAGTATGGCCTGTTGTTACTATGACAGAATTGGTTTCAACTTCCACTTGGTGTCAAGGTTAGGACATTCAATGAATAGACAAGGTCTGATCATGTGGTGAAACAAACAATTGGCATTTCTGTATTGTGGACCCAGACGATGTAATATGAAGAATTAATACTCTTTTAACATTCTTATTTAATGTGCTAACATCCTTTCCAAATTTTTAAAGTTCATGAGCCGCCTATCAAATAAATAGTGTCAATAATGTTTTACAAAGAAAGACTACAACTGTAAACAATACTTTTTCATCTTACAGAATCTGCATTCTAGAGCCAGGAGCGTGCGACTAGTTTATGAAATTGCATATTTTCCTTTGTCCTGCAACTATGAAATCATTGTTCTAATTCAATTGTTAGAAAATGAACTATATTCATTATTCAGTGAAACACAAATACTGTGTGTGCATACCTGCTTGGATGTTTAAATATGGTGGACCATTGCTTTTACTGATTAATCCTTCAGACTACTCAGTTGAGATCTTGTATCAGACCGTCTTACTATCTAAAGATGGGGTTCCAAGTTATCTAAATCCAAGGTTTCTTAGTTTACAAGAAACATCAAGACACTTCCGGCCAAAAACAGAACCTGCAGGACACACTGTGTTATTAATAACAGGAGTAACAATTTAGCGATTTTTCACCTTTTGTAGCTCGGACTATGGTTATTGAAGCACTCACATATTTTCAGTAGATCTGCTGTTCTGGATGCTTACTTCACATATGAAATTTCAAGGCAATCCACTAAGAAGTACTTGAGATATAACATCTCCAATTTTGATTGAGTTTCTTCCTATTTTTTTTCTTCGCACCAAAAGTATGGAAAAACCTCATGTTATATACTTAAAACTATAAAGCTACACTTTCCCAGAGGGTCTAATGCTAATCACATCACTAGTCATTCTTATTAGAAAATAAAGGAGATTGTAACTCGAGATACCACCTGACCTACCAATAGAGAAAAATGCTGTCTACTTTCTCACACTAAATACAACTTTACAGCTATCTTCCCCATGGACACACAAGGTTAACCTTCAGTTGCATGACACAGAACAATAGGTAGCTAGAATGAAATGAGCGTGATAACTTTCTTTACCAGCATGTTATATGAAAACTGAACATATATCTGAATACATTCCAAATCTTTAAATGTTCTGTTTTAATACTCATGATATTCCACACTAGAAGCAATATATTTTAAAGTATAGTTAATACTGCTTAAAATTACAATGTTGTGCTTTTTTTCAAGAAAGCTTTTTTTAACAATATGATATTTAAAAAATTGTTCACGAATTGCAGCTACCTTCTGGTAGATCAAGTGTTAACAACATGCTTTAACATAGAGATTAAACCATTATCTGACCCAACTAAGTAGTTGTTGCTGAATATAATTCTATGAAGCTAACAATTTATTTTATATATTTATAACATGTGGTCATGTCCACTCAAAAATACTAGTAATCTCAAATTTGGGGTAAAGTTCCATTTGCTAGATTACGTTTATGTATACTACCATTTTAAAACAACATTTGGACAAATCCCTTTAAAAGTATATAGTATGGACTCCAGTTGATAATCAGTCTTATGTTTGGAGTAAATAAGAGTACCCCAAAAATTAAGATTAATTTAAACAATGTTACACTTTTGATACCAGAAAAATGTTTTTAAAGTTTCAACCTTGTAAATTTCATAATCAAAAAATAGATCTGCATGATTGCTATATGAAAATATATGTGTGCATTTTAACAGTAATGTGAAAAGCAATTTTTTTTCTTCAAACTAATTAACTTAATACTCAAAATGGACCACATTAAGTCAGAAACACTTAAATATACCATTAGGAATTATTTTCTCCAAACCATTATAGTAGAACTTTAGTGCTCTTATGTATACCTTATATCCCAAACACGATTCTAAGCTTGCAGCTTTGATAAAATAACAACATTAAATTACAAGTTCTTTATCCCTCTCTTTTTAATTTTTTGGATATTAATTGCCAAACATGAGAAGTATGTTAATAATAGTTTTGTATCATTCATGATTGAGCCCAACACCCCTGCCAGATGAGTGCTGTATAAACTGAACTAAATATTCAATTCACTAGCATGTGCCCCCCAGTTGCATAGCGGTATGTCTGCGGACTTACAACGCTAGAAATCAGGTTTCGATACCCGTAGTGGACAAAGCACAGATAGCCCATTGTGTAGCTTTGTACTTAACTTCAAACAAACAAACACTAGCGTGTTTTAACAACTTAAAAAAATCCTCACATTATTCCTATTAAGGGTGTGTGGAGTAATGATGTTTCTTTAACCCATTAGCTATCACTACTAAGGTTCTTTTTCACAACTCAAACTACCACAAAAATGCAATGCATGTTTCAATGTTAGTTTATTGATAAAATTTATATGCTAGTTTTTATATCTTCAGCCTTTCATGTGTTAGATTATCTTATTTTACCCAATAAGAACATATGGAACAATATAATATAATCCTTCTTTGCTACAGCCTTTTCTTTTAACCTTATTTGCTTTGCACAGTAACAATAAAATAATTTATGTTTCCATTAGTGAAAATGTCTTTAGATTTCGTTATCTAGAAAATATGCTTTTTGAACTAAATCTTACAGAATAGTTTGTGTCATTAAGAATACAGAATTTTGGAATACTCATTACAAGTAAATGTTATATATTAACATTTTATTTCTCTCAATATTTAGTATGTTGCTACAAATGAAAAAAAAATTATATTCTGCAAGTCTTAAATATTAAGTGAAAAAGGTCATTTATTTAATGGAATGCACATTATCTGAGGTATTTAATTTGATTTTCAGGTGATACACATGACATTACTGAGCCAACTTGAAGGAAGAAAACATAAATATGAAAAAAGCACAAGTGGAAACTCAGCTGATAGAGAAAACCAAGATTACCAAGAGTCAACAATAAGAAAAGATCGCGCTCAGATGTTAAAAACAGTTCAGCAGAATAGTGTTTTAGACTCCAGTGGTGAATTTCAGATCATTAATTTTCTAATGCGAGCAGAATCACTAGGTTCTCGTAATATCGTTAGTCAGGATTTATCTATTGTGACTCATACAACAGTTAACCATCTCCATTACCTCAGTACATTAAGTGAGCGATGGCAAGGCCCAATGTCAGTTTCAGTTTTTGCTGTTACTCAGGGTGGCTCACTTGCTGTAGAAAGCATTCTCTACCTCAGACACTGCTTTCCATCAATTCGGTATAACACCAGCTTTCACCTAATTTATCCATTGAAAAATCTTTCAGGAGAAACAAAAATACACCAAGAAAAGGCTCCTGTCTTTGGATCTTGTGATAATGAGTTAAATATTGTACAGCATCTAAATGTTCCTGATAATGATGTCCAAGAAATACTTTACCCAAATAATCTCTTAAGAAATGTAGCAAGAAAGAATGCTTTAACAGAATATGTTTTCACCATAGATATTGATCTCCTTCCCAGCAGTCACTTGCATACGAACTTTTTGACATTTGCCAAAGAGAATAGGTTATTTCTGGATTCTCACAAAGATGATAAAACTGTTTACGTTGTGCATGCGTTTGAAGTGAAGAAAGGGACTGAGGTGCCTGCACAAAAAACATCTCTTATACAATTACTAGAACTCATGGAAGCCAGGCCATTTTCTTTGGAACTCTGCTGGAAATGCCAGAAACACACAGACTATGATGCGTGGGAACACGAACCACAAGCACCTAAATTGAATGTTTTATTTGAAGTTCTCTGGAGAGATCCCTGGCAGCCATTTTACATTGCTCGAAACACCGTACCGTTGTATGATGAGCGTTTTCGGCAGTATAAGTTTAATGGAATTAGCCAAGTAAGCCTTTTTTTAGGTTTATATTTATACATTATATTAGGATTTGATGGCAACTAAAAAAATTATAAATTAGTCTGACAGAATCATTGATGTTTTTATTTTCGATTTGGATACAAATAATATGTTACAGTAGGGCAGTATTTACTAATTAGGGATATTAAGAAGGCAATGCTCTGTGTAGTAGTTAACTCTCCCTAAATTAATATGAAATATATTTCATTGATACAATGCTACCTGGTGCTGAAGATGTGTTTCATTTTATTGTTAACTTAAGTAAAACGGATAAAATATATTCGAGACATGTAGTCAATTATAGAAGTGTCAGTTGAAAGGAAAATTATTAATAGTAACACTACACTTTTTATTTCTGTTCCTGGATTATAAGACAACAACTAAAGATGTTTTTCACAATGGCCGAACTGTAGGACGTCAGGCTGGCATGACTCCTCTCCACCTAGTGTCAGAATCAAGACACTAAAAGTGTTTTTCACAATGGTGAGAACGGTATGACGTCTGGCTGGCATGACTCCTCTTCACCTAGTGTCAGAATCAAGATACTAAAGATGTTTTTCACAATGGTGAGAAGTGTAGGACGTCAGGCTGGCATGACTCCTCTCTGCCTAGTGTCAGAATCAAGACACTAAAAGTGTTTTTCACAATGGTGAGAACGGTATGACGTCTGGCTGGCATGACTCCTCTCCACCTAGTGTCAGAATCAAGATACTAAAGATGTTTTTCACAATGGTGAGAAGTGTAAAACGTCTGACAGACATGACTGCTGTCCACATAGTGTCAGGATCAAAACACAGAAGACTTTCTTCACAATGGTGGAAACTGTAGGACATCAGACAGGCATGACTGTTTTCCATGTAACGTCAGGATCCAAACATAAGGGTCACAACTGGCCCTTTGCTGCACCAATCTAATCTCATGGCTATTTTCTTATACTGTAGATGAGATAATCAACATAAAGGATGCTACTTTGCTTGATCTGATTCCTGAACAAATATTAGGTCGTCAAGAAAATAATGTCGCGTTTTGGAACACTTTCATTAACCTCCCCCCAAAAACGTACATCACGTATACTAGTTAAATGAATCGCCTAAAGTTCACGTTAGTGTAGCCTATATAATGTATAAAGTTTAGTATACTCTAATCCCTTATAGTGATAGCACACGACGAGACATTCGGCATGTAATGCTGTTTGAATACAAGAAGGGAAACAACGCCTATGTACCCATAAAGAATATCAAAGAAGTTTATGGAAATGTTTTGAACGTTCGTAAGTGTCAACGATGGTTCAGCAAATTTCGTTCAGGTGACTTTAGACTTAAAAACTATGATGGCAAGGGACGACATGTTGGAATTTATATTGATGCTCTGAAGACGCTTGTTGTGTCTAACCCAAGGCAACACACTCGTGAAATGGCCATGAAATTGTATGTTTCTCAGGAAACAATACGTAAACACCTAATGAACATGGAAAACTCCATAAAGAAGGTGTTTGGGTGTCTTACGAACTCTCCGATGATCATTGGTTCCAACGTGTGAATGTTGCTTCGTCTCTTTTGGCGGGTAATGCGCGTGAACCATTTTTGGACAGAATTGTCATCGGTTATGAAAAATGGTTTCTCTATGTGGATATTAAACGCCAAAAACAATGGCTCAGTCCAAAACCTAGATTCCATCCGCAGAAAGTGATGCTTTGCATTTGGTGGGACATCAAAGGAGTAATTCATTTCCAACTCCTCAATCCACAGCGAACTGTCAATGCAGAGATCTACAGTCGGCAACTGGAACGTTGAAATCAAGCCCTTCACTCATCTCCACAACAATGCACGTCCTCATGTGGCACGTTTAACGCAACACAATATTATGGAGTTGAGTGGGGAAATTCTTCCCCTTCCACCGTATTCTCAAGATGTGGCACCATCAGATTACCATCTTTTTCGTTCGCTGCAACACCATCTTAATGTGAAAACGTATGCAAATGTGGAAGGTGTTAAAGAGTACATCGACATGTTTTTTGCTTCAAAGCCAAATGATTTCTTTAACTGTAAGATGGAAAAGCATCATCGATAAGAATGGAGACTATTTCATTTAATAAATGTTTTGTTTTGATATATAAGTTGTTCGGGTTTCTTCATCTAAAAAAGCGACATTAATTTTCTTTACGACCTAATATATGACAGGGCAGTGACCTATAAAGCTTAATCTGTTGTACAATGCAATCCAACAAACCAAAATAAAGAATAACTTACACCACTATAGTCTAGAAGTTTGAAGTATTATGTTACATCAATAATCTATAGAAATATTTTTGTAATGAATGATGGTACTAATGTAGGATGCGTTTCCCTTTTCATTATACATTCATAAATTGCTACTCATAAATCTTCAGTATAGAAAATTATTGATTTATCCGGCGGGGAAATTCGTGTCAGCTTTCCAACACAATCATGTTTATGTTTGTGTATATTTGTGTCTTTTACACAAATACGTTGTTTTGCTTTGCATTGATTCGGCTTGCAGACGTCCTAATGTTCAGTTATATCAGTGTTATTTGTATGCAACAACAGGCTTTAAAATGATTACTTAGTTCGCTACTCATTATCGTTTAGTGCCTCGTATTTTTAATTGTGCCTGTTCGTGGACAATACTGAAGAATATGCAATAATAATGCAGCAGGACGACTAATTTTCTTACCTCATTAGTGAAGTGACTGATATCTGCTTTTTAGAAAAGTGGATTCTTAGGTATTTAAACTTGTTGTTGTTTTTTGCGCTTTTCTTTCTCGTTGGTAGTTTTTAATAAAGATTTTTTCTGATTAAACGTGATAAGAAACAACGTATTTTGATGTTTAACATATCGATTGCATAAGAATACTTCAGGTAGAAATGTTAGGTACACAAGTTTAGATGATTGATATTTATTTCCACCAACAACCCCTTCCCCAATGGCTCAGCAGTAAGGCTAAAGACTTATAACGCTAAAACCGAGTTTCGATACCTGTATAGCTTTGTGATTAACAAAAAAGAGAAAGTAATCGACCGACAAAATACAAACAAGTGAATTCATGAGTTTTTATATACAAATCACTGAACATGCTATGGGAGAAAATGCATAATGCTACCCCGAAATGAACTCAGCAGGCCTCCCAGTCTGTTTGGACAAAACTATAAGTTCTAAAATATAAAAAATAGGTGTATCTTAGACTTTTAATTTTCCAAGCTGGGGGTTTCTAAAGCCCTCTAGTTTTACCAGATAAAGGTTTTTACGTATATCAGTAAGACGACTACGCGGATGATGAAAGTCTACGTACATTTCAGTATAGATACACCAAACTTACTGAACATATATACACACACACTTTCTGAAGACTGTATTTGTAATATATATACAAATGGTGGAAATGAACTTGGGTAATTGTCACTTCCATAAGCTTTTAACTGCCACAAAATCAATTTTGGAGGCCATATATTAAATACATTTTGCAAGACAAAAGTATAAGTTTAGATATTGTTTCCAGAAAAATACAGGTCACCTTTTAAAATAGCAGTTGTTATTTGTACATCCGACTTCCCTAAGTTATTCGTGCGGTCATGACGTCTTTGCACGCTTATCTTATACCATTATATAATAACTTCTACCAGAAGAGCTGCTAAAATTATACAATAATAATAAATATTCTTAGCCATGAATAAAAGGCGAGCAACAAAAAGCCTCTATGACCACTCTGTCCTAGGTTATCAGTTAAGTAACCTCGCTACTAGCGGTGTTATCAGCCTATTTATAACCACATCGAAAAAAGGCAACTGAAAATGTTAGCCAAAGTACTAGAATAAACTCTGCTTCAAGAAGAAATGAGAATTAACTCGCATAGCAGTGCAGTTGTAGCAGTAACCGATACAAATATAAAGGGTGTTGACCATTTTTGAAATTATAATTAGAAAGGACAAAAGGAAAAACGAAAGAAATCGGTGGTTTCTAAAAAAGCCCGCTCAGCTACCACACACAATGAAGTCAGTATAACTGAACACACAAATCCTTATTTCCGATAAAATTATTGTTTAATAATGCTTGAATAAATATGCACACGGAAGTCGGAGTATATGGGCATGTATGATAGCCACTTCTTTCAAAATAACGGCTTTTTACAGGTTTTAAAGGAACCAGCTGAGGATCTTAATTAGTTATATATGACATAAAAAACGTAACATTTTCTATATTTACATATATATTATATTGGCCATAAAGCTAGCTTGTTGGAAGTGTTTGTGGACGGTGTTATTGGTGAAATTTGCACTTAATGTGAACAGTTTTGAACCTCAGTTTTAATGTATATTGTGATTTTAGCCGCGGATCATAGAACGGCTTATGAGTTTTTTTTTTTTAAGTACAAACTTTTAGGCGGTATGTCTGTGGACTTACAACGCTAGAAACAGGGTTTCGATACTCATAGTGGGCAGAGCACAGATAGCCCATTATGTAGCCTTGTGCTTAACTTCAAAACAAACAAAACAAAACAAAACTTTTAGCTCATAGCTCCGTCATCTCTAGACCGATTTGAGATTTAATTACAGTTTTGGGCTCAAAAGGTCAATCCCTTTCGATTGATGTATTTGACTACGCTCCTGGTCTCATAGATTAATTTACTCTAATACTGCCTAAAATAATTTCAATTGAAGGGTGGGATTCTAGAGATCCTGGTGAGTAATAAAATCGAATCTGGTATATGCCGCGCCTCATGCTTGGTATTGCTGGCGCATAAAAATATAGCTAATAAAATGGGAAACAAAGGTCTTATAAATTAAGTTACTCTAATCCTGCCTAAAACAATTTCAAGTGCCGCGGCTATTGAGAATTCCCTCTTGTTTATTTAAGTCTTAGCTTTAATTCAAGGCAATCGTTTGACAGCAGGCTTTCTATGAAAGTAAATTATGCCTGAGAATAAACAACCGCTAAATCGATGTATTTATAAAACTATTTAGAGTATATAA